CCTGGGTGGCTCAGTCGGTTAAGCGTCTGACTTCAGCTCAGGTCATGATCTCACAGTTCGTAGGTTCGAGCTACATGTCGGGCTCTGTGCTGAAAGCTAACTCAGAGCCTGGAACCTGTTTCAGATTCTGTATCTCCCTCTCTCTCTAGCCCTCCCCTGCTCACACTGTCTCTCTCTTTCTCTCTCTCTCTCTCAGAAATAAATAAAACATTAAAAAAAAAAAAAAAGGATATGAAGCAATGGAAACCAAGGAGGTGGAATTTCCCCCTCATTTGACAGAGGGAGAAACTGAGCCGCAGAGCAAGTATGAGAGCTTCCCAAATCATTTGGTCCATTAACAATGCAGCTGGGGTGCCATGGCTTGTAGATAACTGTTGGGGCCCCAGCAGAGATCATCTGGACAGAGGCCTCACCCTTGAGCTTTGGAGGCACTGTTGTCCATGTGTCTCAGCTAAGACTCTACCTCCCATGAGCACTTTTTCTCCCTTTTTCCCCAGGCCTCCCATCTGCTGGAGTCTTGTAACTCCATAGTCTTCTTCCTGAATCCCTGCCTACCCCAAGTATGCCACCTGCTGCCAACTGGGCATATTAAGCATGTGTGCAGGCTAGATTTGGCCCATTATCTCCCTCCCCATCCCCATTCATTGCCTAGAGCCTCTTACAAGGCAATGCTCTGAGACCACCTTGGCCCTTAGTACCACCGAAGGCAAACAGGATATGAAAGGTACAAGGAAAGCTGGCTAGATCTGAGGAGTGTTGGAGAAAAAGAGAGGAGGAGGAGGCCTCCTCCAGAGGCCCATGACTGATTTCCTTTCTGGTTTCCACGCTGTGAACTGGATTTATGCCCCCTTCCTCCCTCCCCGACAATCTCTGGAAGGCCCAGACCTGTCAATCACAGCAAGGACAGGGTGGATATGGAGGCTGAGAGTGCATCCTGAGGCTGGACTTGCACTGGTGGCTGTGGTCTAGGGGATCCGTCCTTGAGCTTCAGGGTCCTGCTCATCTGCTTTTGAATCACAGCTTTTTACAGCTTTACAGCTTTACAGCTATGTTTGTTGTTTGGCAGCTCACTTAACCATCTCAGCCTTGTTTTCCTGACCTGGCAAATAGGGATACTAAAAGCTCCTTTAGAAAGTTGTTGTGAGGGGGCCCCTTGGTGGCTCAGTCAGTTAAGCATCCAACTTCAGCTCAGGTCATGATCTCGAGGTCCGTGAGTTTGAGCCCAGCATCAGTCTCTCTGTTGACAGTTTGGAACCTGGATCCTGCTTCAGATTCTGTGTCTCCCTCTCTCTCTGCCCCTCCCTCACTCACACTCTGTCTCTCAAAAATGAATAAGTGTTAAAAAGAAATTTAAAAAAAAGTTGTTGTGAAGATTAGAAACCATGTTGCAAGGAAAGAGAGATACTGATACTGTCTAGGGAAGAGGGATGTGCTAGGTGTTGTCTTGCGATCTCTGTAAGGATACTGAGCACCTTTGAGTCCTCACTCTAAAGGCAAACCAGGAAGGCTCCTTTGTGCCCCCTTTCCTTCCAGGCTAAAGAACTCAATGTTTATTTGGGGATCCCTCCTCCACCAGCTGATTGTGGACCTAAGGGTGGTCTGATTCTCCTAGGCTCCCACCTGGGACAGAGGTTGTCACATCCTGTGCGGTGCTGTTCCTGGTCTAGGTGAGGGCTGTCATTGGGGGAGGAGGGTCATCAGGGAAGGAGGAGAGAGCAGGGCCCCAACTGTAGTGAAGAGGGAGGGGTGTGGCTCCTGTGACCTACCACAGGAATGTTTTTAAATCTTCCCATCAGCTTTTGAAAAAATGATGATCCAGTGAAAGCAGCAACTGCATCTGCTCCATTAGCAAGTGAAGTAGAATCAGCTTTCGTGGCCTTAGGGCTCTCTTGACTGGAACTCTGGCCAGTCCTGTACGTAGGGCTTGGGGGAGTCTGGGCCGAGGGAGCTGGGGATGCTTCGAGGACAACGTAGGTGAGTGGGGCTCTTGGGGGATCCCTGGGCACTACAATGTGGGGAGGGGAGCAGCTCCCAGGAGAGACACAAGTGGAGCCAAGATGCAGTTCTGGGTTCTGTCACAGAGGTCCCTCCCAGAGGGGGCCATGGTCCCCACACTGGGATTTGATGGTGACTCGACCTAAAGGGCAAGGCAGAAGTGGTCTGTGTGGTACTGTGCTGGTGCAGGGGTTGAACATGAGAATGCTGGCGTCTCAAGGGTATGGCTGTCGTGGGTCAGTGGTCTTAGGTCCTTCCCATGGGTGGTCAGCCGATTAGCTCAGTTGGCCAGTGCATAGCTCAGCTCTGTGCTAGAGGCCAGGGTCAGCAGCTCAGGGACCACACACACCTTTAATCCGGTCCATTCTTGTCCCTCTGGCCCTGCTTGGCATTGTCACTGAGGCATGTAGCGGATCATTAGTGGAATGGCTGGATAGGAGAAAGATGACAAAGTAAATCTACTCTCACCTCTGCTGGGGAAGAATTCTCACTGTGGTCTGTGTTCCTTCTTATCTTAAAGACCCCCAATTTCTTCACATGACTGCAGTTGCTAGGTTTTATCCTTTGCTTATTTTGCAGACTGAGCATGGAAATTCTCACAGCTGCTCTTAGTACCTACTTGAAACCTCTGGGATCGCTTTGTGAAAGTACTTCTCAGGCCCTCCAATGGGGCTGTCTTTGGCCCTGCTGGGCTGGGGACAGGGTAACATGCCCTACATGGGAGACTGTGGTCAGGCAAAGAGTGACTTTGAGTGTCCTTTCACACTATGGCCTGGGGGGTGGGCATGAAATATATGGGAAGGAAGTAGGAGTGAGGGAAGACTTGGATGTGGTCTTATAGACCTAGGTGATGGGCAGCCAGGGGAGGAATAGAGGCAAGCTGGTCACAGGCACCTGAACATGCATGGCATTGCCCTCTCTGCTGGACAGGTTGGGGACAAGTTTAGCTCCATCCAATAGTGGCATCAAGTTACTAAAGTACAAATTAGAGGAAAGGATAAGGGGGGGGGGGCAATGGAATTTTTTTTTCCTAGTGGAAATTATTTCATCTGTGAGCAGAGCAGTCCTTAAGCCCCCAACTCTCAGTCATTTCACGCTGTAGTTCTATAAATCCATCAATGTTTAGGGGTCTACACTGACTTCTCACAGCTTAACCTCTAACTGGTCCCAGGCCACGGAGTCGAAGGTCAGAGAAAGGCCAGCAACAGCCATAAACAATCCCTTGCAGTTGCTGACAGCTTGCTCCACAGTATGAAAGGAGACACCCCAGTGGTCTTGGGTGGACCAACCATACCCTGGTGGTCTTTTCTCTGCTCTCATGTCCTTTGTCTCCATCTTCACCCAGAGCCAGTTTACCCATGGAGAGTCAACGTGAGCATTTTCCTCCTCGTACATAAACATTTGTCTACATTTTTAATCCTTTCCATAGGACACATTTCTAGATCTGGCATTGTTCCCACAGCAGTGTACAAGAGCCTTGTAGCCCTGTACCAATGCTCGATAGTATACATTTTCTAAAAGACAGTAAATTTGGTAGCAAAAATGACAACATTTAATGTGCATCTCTTTGATTTTAAGGAGGCCTTTTCTTTTTGTTGGGTTTTGGCCAATCGTATCTATCATTTTGTGAATTCCTTGTTCAAGTCTTTTGCTCTTTATTCTGTGGGATATTTGCTTTCTGTTATTGATTTGGTAGAATTCCCTGTACTTAAAGGTATTAACTCCTTGTTCCCCATATATATTGCAGGTATCTTTATGGTTTATTGATGGCTTGAACCTTTTGAAAGGGCTTTGATGTTCATACAGAGATTTTCATTCGTAGGTCCTCAATTCTATTGGTGTTTTCCCTTATAATTTCTGCCTCTGACATGGGGCTTCTAAAGACCTTTCCCACAACAAAATTATGGAAACATTTATGTGTGTGCTCTGCAAATACTTTTATGGTTTCATTTTTTACATTTCCTACACTTAACTCTTTCACCTATCTGAAATTGATTGATTGTGTCTTTGTAAATGGCTTCAAATTACCTTGGAAGTGAAAGTGATTAATAGAGCAATTAATTCATTAATTAACATGGCAGGAAGGAGAAGCTGGTAGAGGAGGAGAAGTTGAGGATATGGGAGAGGGAAGCGATAATTAATGGATCAGAGTCTGGGAGGGAAGGGATTAAGCGCTGGGCCAGGGGTGTACCTAGAGGGATCTGCCTGTATCTAATGGCGGGACATTAGTCTGTGAGACTAGAGGCCCGAGCTGGCAGAGGCTACTTTTGCTGGGTTGGAAAGTGTATTGGGAATGGGCTAGAAAGGAAGCTTATGAGTCCAGTGCCCAAATCTCCAGTGACTGAGGGGGTGGGGATGGTGTAGAGGGACCAGGGGAGATGGTGTCAATGAGGACTAGTGAATTGTATGAGGCAGGTGGCAGGAGCCTGAGGTCGGAGAAGGTTTACAAGTTTATGTATTTGTGGGGATTGGGATTGGCTGCTCTGCCTTTGGGCTTAGTGGGACCTGGAAGATTACACTCCACTGCATAGGTATCCTGGGCACTTTTGTCAGGTAAAGTGGTAAGTGGAAGAAACATGCAGAGAAAAGGCTGACGGCACAAGGGTGTTGGCTTACTGTGGCAAAGGCATTCTAGACTCAGGCTACAAGAAAAGGTCTGAGAGGGTGGGGCTGTGAGAAGGAGAGTCTATTCCCTATCAGTAGAGGACAACAGAGGCAGGGAAAGTAAAATTAACTCCGTTTGTACAGAGCACTATAGTTCACAAAGAACTTTCACCTATGTGTCTGCATAGGAGCCTCACAGCAGCATTTCAAAGAGAGGTAAAGGGGTTTGTCCGAAGTCAGGCAGGCAGGCACTGACCGAGTCAGAATGTGAAGCCAGGGATTCCAGTGTCCAGCCTGAACACTGATACCTCCTCCCCTGACCCCATCATCATCTTTATACCCTCAGGGACAGAAGCTCGAGATGGTGCCTAATCATCTTCTTTTCTCTCCTCTCTCTGCAGGACTGTAGTCCTCATTGCCACCTTGCCAACCATGAATGGGACAGCCAATGTGAACTCGGCCAGCCGGCCCCACTATGCCTCCTCCATCCCGGTGCCTCGAGCTGCTTCTCAGACCAGGATTCATACACCGGGTGCCTCTCCCCAGCTGCGGCCACGCCAGGCCGGCCTGGCCCTGAGCCCCCAGCGTTCAGCCTCCCCGAGACTGGGGCGAGCAGGAGGCCCTTCCAGAAGCTCCTCTCCTAAGACCTCGCGGGGGAGAGGCTCCCCCAAGGCTTCTGGGGCAGGGAGAGAGTCAGCTGAGGGTAGTGAAGGCCTTTCCAGCTCCCCATGGAGCAGCCCCAGGGCAACCCCAAAAGCTGCCCTCTCCAACCGGGCTGGGTCCAGAAGAATCGGGGAGGCACAAGGCACCCAGGGAAAGAAGAAGGTGGCTCAGGAAGGGATTCCGGTCCGCCAGTCCCGGGGCAGGAGCCCACCCCAAATGAGCTCTCGTGGAGAAACTCAAATACCAGGGGCTCCTGAAGGCCGAAAACCTCCTAACTACCCAGGAAAGGATCAAAGAGATACAAACTACAAAAGTTCAGGGGTCTCGAAGTCTTTGGAGCCTGATGCCGGGGCAGTGTCAGGGGCCTCTTCCCCGGTGTGCAGCCCTGTGCAGAGCAAGCGCCCCTCTCCCACCCCAGGGGCTATCAGCTTCACCTCGGTCCATCAGCAGAGTCAGCCAGTCACAGCTACAGTAGCCCCCTTCCAGTACAGGTGAGCTGGGGTTGGGGGCAGGTGGGGAGGAAGGGAGGGAGGCATGGAGCTGGGACCCAGTGGCAAGTCCAGAGGGGAGAAGGTCTAGGTGATGAGTAGCTGGTGGAGACCTGGGAGTGGGGGAGGCCTGGAGTATAGAAGAAGAAGTGAGGTAAGGAGTTGGGAGAGCCGAGACAGGATTGGGGACGTAAAAGGTGGACCAGGATCTAAGATCTGGTTTTTGCCAGAGGATTCAACTCTGGGGACTCCATAACAAACAGGGTCATGAGAGAGTACCCCCAAAATGTCCATTTCCCCTGGGCTCTGAGACAGTAGATTAAGGTGTTATAGAAGCTTAAGCAGCTAGAGGTGCAGGTAGGTAGGTCAGTATCATCCAACTCATCTGGGACATTTGCCACCACTGAGAGTTAGACTAACTGCATTGTCATGGGCGTGGTGCCTTCAGTCCATGGCGCTTAAAGTCCTTAGTAGTCTGTATCTGTCTGTCTGTCATTCACTCTTTCTCTCCACTTACCATATTTCTTTATGCGTAACTGTTTACCTTGTGGCTGGCCTACCAAGGACAATCAGTATTGTTTCCTAAATGGTCAGACAGGGGTTACCACCTTGGGTGGTGACCCAGCCACCATTCATAACAACATGGTCAACAAACTAGTCTCTAGTTTTCTTCAGACGTGGTGAGTTGAGTGCATAGGATAACACGTCCATCAAGTACATATGCTTTTTTTGTTCCTTTTTTTAAAAAAATGTTTATTTTGAGAGAGAGAGAGAGAGAGAGAGAGAGAGTGGGGGAAGGGCAGAGAGACAGAATCCCAAGCAGGTTCCACACTGTCAGCACAGAGCCTGATGCAGGGCTCAAACCCATGACTGTGAGATCATGACCTGAGTTGAAACCAAGAGTTGGTGGCTTAACCAACAGAGCCACCCAGGTGCCCTTAGTACATATGCTGTTTTCATAAAAATACTTTACTAAAATGGCCACATTAAGAAAACCAAATTTTAATTACTAAGTGTCACATGGATTAGAGAGACTCAAATGTAAATTCAGTCCTTCCCTGGCTAACCTGACCTCCTGGGTTTTCTCTCTGTACTAGTGTGAGGAGAAACCCACTTCCATTTGGGGTTTAGAAAAATTTGTACACCATTTCTGGGACACAGGGAGTCTCTGTGGCGACAGTGTGTCTGGAGGGGGGGGTGTGGGGAACCCAAGGAGCTTTAACTTCTGTTAGGAGCCAACAGTTGGACTTGGTCTCTGAAACGTTCCGGGCACTCTCACACCTCAGCAGTAAGTGTCCAGTGTCCAGCACAAGGAAGCCAATATTCCTACTCCGTTAACCATGTGGTCAGGCCTCTTGTACAGTATCACTCAGTTTGGGACACCACATTTTAAAAGGACACTGATGCACAAAAACACATTTCGAGAAAGACAGACAGGTTGGTGCAGGATCTGAAAAAGGCATGAGAAGATTGCTAAAAGGAACCGAGGCAGTTTACTTTGGAAAAGGAAGGCTTAGAGAGAGGCTCTGAGAGCTGTTCTCAAATATTTGAAGAGCTGTCATGTCATAAGATGACTTAGATTCACTTGGTACAGCTCCAAAGCACTAAGTCAGTGTCGTGGTGGTTGGAAGTCAGTTTGAGACAGATTGGAAGGGGAGTAGGAAGAACGTTCCAGCCACTGAAGAGGTTTACAAATTACTTTTAAGGCAGTGAGCTTCCCGTCATGACAGGCATTCTAGCTGACTGCAGGATCAAAGGACGTTTTTACCTGGGTGATCCTTGCCTCTCGAGCATCTCTTCTGCCTGAAGGGCTGCCCACACAGCGCACCTGTGCTGCTTTTCCTGAGGAGCTCCTCATGTCTGTCCCTTGTGACCTTCATGAAGATTCTCCCGCTGATGCAAGAACTCAAGGAAACACAAATGCAGGGCAGACCTTCCTCCGAATGGCCTTTTCCCAATTAGTACAGTGTTTCCCTCGTGACTCTTTGACTTTCTTCCCCTACCTGATTTCCTTCATTTTGAATTCAATCTTTGGGAAAAGTGTCTAGGCATTAAATTGTTTAAGATTTTACATTACCTACCCTACAAGTCCCCTGGCAGATTTAGATTCTGACATTTTTCAAAGGGGTCAGAACTTCTACCTTGGAACATTTCAGTGCAACATTTTCTTGCATGTTATACTTGCGTTGGCAGCACATATCCAAACATTTATTGCATGTTTGCATTTGAAAGAGAAATGGAAATGTGTTGTACCCGCCCCAGGGAGGGCGTGGTTCTTTACCATGCTCCCTCCTACACCCTGCTTATTTCAGGCCCTGGATCAGGGGTGCAGGGAGGGTCATGGTTCGGGCAAGGAAGGATTAGGATGAAGGCACCCCTATGTGCTGCGGGGCAGCTGGTGGGAGCCCCGTACGCCCTGCAGCCTGGAGCCAGGCTGGGGCTACCTTTGCAAGTTTCATAGCCAAGGGGGTGCCCTCTGCTCCCTAGAAGTCACACAGATCTCCTGTTTTCGTGGAAATCTCCTGCCCACACCCTGGCAGCTTGGCCTTCTGCAAAGCTCCAGCTGATCACAGAAGCAGAGGTTATCTTCCTTCCTGCCCCATCTCCAGCCTGTCCTGCCTGACCTGCTTCTCCAGGGCACAAATCCATCAACCCTCTTATTCTTTGCCCATTACTATCTCTTTCCTAGGGTTTGAGTGGGGTCCTTCCCAATGAGGTGTACCTCCCGCCTCTTCTCTGACCTGTCACAGCCTCCCTCTGGTTGCCCCTGCTCGCTGGACCCAGAAAAGGCATAAATGCCTCTCAGTCTGCTCTCCAGATCCTTTGGGCTCATATTTGTGGTTCCCTCAGGTCTTCAACCTCCTTCTCCTCTGCTCTCCTGGAAAAGAGCCCCCTACAGTTTCACCACCCAATTGCTGCCTTTTTCCAACTGCCAGCTGTTTTCTTTTTCTGACTGTTGTCTTCTTCCCTCCTCAGGCTGGCCTTTGGTCAGATTTCAGTTAGGAGGATACAGTCAATGGTGTCAGGATAGGGTTATTGGTTTTCTTCTCTCTGGTTCAACCTCTAACCAACTTCTAGCATAGATGAAACTGCCCATTCAGGCTGGAAAGTGAGAAGAGACATGGGGTTCCTGGGATGAGATTGGGGTGGGAGAGGTAGGCAGAGAGGAAAGTGTAAAATCAACTGAGGTTAGAGCGATAGAGGCTGACTTCTTCAGTGTTCTGGGGCCAGTTGCACACTCACTCACTCTTGCAGCTTAATTACGGCACTAACAAGCACGAGAGCAAACTATTTGTATTTCTTTTTTTTTTTTTAATGTTTACTTATTTGAGAGAGGGAGAGAGAGAGTGAGTGCGAGAGGGCAGAGAGAAAGGGGAGACACAGAATCTGAAGCAGGCCCCAGGCTCGGAGCTGTCAGCACAGAATCCGATGCAGAACTCAAACTCGTGAACCGTGAGATCATGACCTGAGCCAAAGTCGGACGCTCAACCTACTGAGCCACCCCAGTGGCCCAAACTATTTGTGTTTCCAACGCTAGTTTTTGCCTACCTGCTCTGGGTCAGGCAATGCTCAGCTCTTATATGTATAATGCTATTCAGTGAAACATATATACATTGTTTGGAATTCCCTTTCCCCAGTAGAATGTCCTATTACTTTCTCACCAGTGTGTTGCATTCCTTTAAAAACCCAGATCTATACTCATTTCTTCCAGGAAACCAACCAACTCCAGGTTTCCTTTGTCCCCATAATACTCAAACATCAGGCTGACATTGAATTGACAGTAGTACATGGTGAATGACCCCATCATACTGAGCAGTCCCCAGGCAAGATGAGGTCTCCTGCTTTCTCAGAGTACCCCCCACCAAGCTCTATTGCAAGCACCCAGCTCAGGGGCCTGCAAAACACGCAAGAGCTCAACACTGCCTGCATGGCTTAGAAAGAGCCATCCAGGAGCAGCAAACACCTCACTCAACCCTGGACTGTCAGACCGATGTGGGTCTTGGAGTTCATCTCTTCTGTCCCATGATGGAAGTGGGACCCAAAGAGGAGAAGAGATTTGCTCTGCATTACACAACGAAGTAACAACAGAGATGAGCCCAGAGTTCCAGCCATCTGGGTTGAAAAAAGGAAAAACTAGAAAGAGGAAGACAAAATCTCAGTCGCACTGAAGACTCACAGGGTCCCCTGGCCCAGCCTCTGTCCCCAGGACCAGCCATCAACTTCCCCTCCCGCCTGTACAGCTCTTCCCTCCCCCTCCTGCCAAGCTGCCAAAGGGTCCATTTAGCTGGAGACAGCGGGCGGACGGGTGGGCGGGCCAGCTCTGAGAGCCCGGGGTAATTGCCTATAATAAAAGCTCCCACAGCCTTTGTTCCTGGGAGCGATTGTACGGTTGGGGTTGTGCTCAGAAGTCTGTGTGCACTTGGGAGCTGGTGCCCGGAGACCTCACCCTTCCTTCCTGCTGCCACACGGGCCCAGCATGGACTTCTCCTGGGAGTCGTTGTGACCTCGGCTGAGCCTACCCCTCCTTCTTCCCTGACCTCCTCACTGCCTGGACTGTGAGCAAGCCGAAGGAGGCCTGTGTGCCCCCTATGCTCTCATAAGGAGTCAGTGACCTTAGCTTCAGAGGGAACTCTTCCCTCCGTGTGTGAACATGGTTGTGACACAGGCATGGCCTGAGGGCAGGGATGGCAGCAGGACGAAGGACCCAAGGGCTGGAGTTGCTATGGGTTTCCCCTGCCCTGTGGGTGATTTGTGTTCCTGGGAATGGGTGGAACACCAAAGGCTGACTGGCATCAGGCATCCCTGTGCCCTCTGGAGTTCCCTCCAGAGCCCCTACCACTGGCCTACGTTTGCCCAAGGCCTACTGTGTGCTGGAGTACACACATGGGTGCGTGCCTGCCGGGGAGGGTCCACCCCACAGGGGTGCAGAGCACAGCAGAAGGGGAGAACCGAGCTCCAAGGGGATTTCCTTAGCTCCTCGGAGATACTTCAAGGCCAGGACAACCTCTGCTATGAGTGACCATCCGTTCTCTGTCCCACAGGCTTCAGACAGACCAGGAACCTGGCCCCCTCCCCCAGGCTAGCTGGACCCTTGATGGCTACTCTGGCCCCCCTGGTGGGACTGAGGAGAGCTTCTTCTGCACAGGTAAGTGACCTTGGGGAAAGACTTCCTCTTGGGAGTGGGGAGGCCACTGGACTAGAAGTCTCCCCACTGCCCATGTGGAGGAAGTGACTTTGCTACTCAGGTCCCTCTCTTAACAACGAGACATCAACCTGTGAATTGCACTTTGAGGTTTAGCCATGCTTGACTCAACCCAGGGTTGGTCCATCAAATCAAGGAGCACCTCAGAGTCAGGCTTAGAAAGCAGCCAGTGGGTGCCCCGTTTATCCAGGGGCCAATCTCGGGAGTCACCGAGGGCATGACAAAAAAGTGATAAGCTGGGAGATTGAGAATCCAGAGCCAGGTTCCAGGCAAAGCCCAGATGAACAGTGAAGGTGCCCTGGGAGCCAGCGATGGTGTCCAGAGCCATTTGGCTAGCTGCCTGACGACGGCTTCCCCTCCCAGGGCCACTTTTCACAGGCCGCTCCCACACGTGTCACCTTTCCTGTGGCACCCTATTGTCACAGCATTTCACCCGAGGTATGTGGTACTGGTCATGGAACCTCAGGAGCCAGAATGTGAGACCTACCAAGAAGACCCCTGAAACTCGAATACAGGGATATTCTGTAGGAGCCGACACACTGCTTGCCCCCAGGTGCATCCCCACTCTGGCCTCTGGCACACAGCGGGTGCTCAGCAGGTGTCTCTGAATGAACGGCTGGGTGAGTGCCTGTGTGCCATAGGTCAGGAATTACACTGGTCAGAATTTAAACTCTTGGCAGCATTTGGGTGTGTGTGTTGAGTTTCTTGCAACATTTAAGAAATCCCTAGAGGATGACTGTGGTGCGCACGAGAGAGATATGCAAGACTCCACCCTGCCAGGCTCCGGCTCTGCCTATCCTTTGGTTGCCCCAGGAGGAGAATGAACTTGCTTTTGACAAACCTGAGATTGCCCAGAGAGTTTGTCTTAGCTCCGTCTCGGTGTTTTGCTCTGGTGGGCAAAGCTGGGGCCGCCTGCCCTGATGTCATTGGACACACCATTTCTGCCTTTGTCCCCTGTAGGAAGGTGGTTGGCTGTTCCTCTTGGCTGGGGGCTGGCCCTTTTGAGGCTTCTGCCGGCCTGGGCCCCAACTGTGGTCTTGGGACCATTGTGACCCTGAAAACAGGGCTGCAACATGCACTCTATGGCAAGACTTGTAGGGGTTTATGGGGGTAAAGACTGGGCATCTAGAAAGTAAGCCATTGCCTCCTGCAACAAGTACACACTCAGAGGAGCCAGGCCATGGCAGGGGACAAAGGAAACCAATTTCACTGGCACTGAAAAACCATCAGAATTAGAATGTGGTAACCAGGAAACTATGTGGAGCTCTATTTTTACATTTGCAGTTTTGTTAGTGTAATGGCTTCCTTATGTGTATGCCACATTGTTGGAGGCTAATGATCTCCACCTAACCAGGCACTCGATCCTAATTAATATCTGATGAGTTGGTGAGAGGACTTTTACTTTTAGCGTCTGCTACAGACTGGCTTCAGGAGTTCCCCAGGCTTGTCAGCCAGAAGACCATCCTCACCAGCTAGATCTGAACGTGCTGATAGATCCCAGGTTGGGTTCCTCTGTGGGGTGGGGTGCCAGTGAGCCTCCGGAGGTGACAAGAAACCCTTGCCTCATCCAAGGCTCCTTGAGTAGAGGGACAAGGTTCACTGCACTGCCTCTGCTCTGGCACTAGCTGGCCATCATGGTGACCCATCTTGGCCAAGGATACACCAAGCTCTTGGAAGGGTTGGATGGAGGGAAAGATTTGGGGTCTGCCTGTGCTCTGTAGGGTAGTCTGTACTCAAGTCTCTTTCTTGAAGAAAAAAGAGATTGAGAAGAGAGACAATAGAAGGCTTCCTTTTTATGCCCTGCTCCCCTTGAACTTCACTTAGAGCATGTGGTGACTCATTCATTCATTTCTCCTTTTATTCAATCAACAAACCATCAGTGAGTGTCTGTCTTGTGCCCAACACTGTGCTCAACCTGAAGGCAAAAGATGAATAAGGGGCATCTGGCTGGTTCAGTAGGTAGAGCATGTGAATCTTGGTCTTGGGATCATGAGTTCAAGCCCCACATTGGGCATGGAGCCTATTTTCCTTAATAAATAAAAAACTAAAAATGGCATATACGTGTATATATATATATATATATATATATATACACACACACACACACACACATATATATATATAAAGATGAATAAGACTTTGACCTGTTTTCAAGGAGTTCATGGTCTAGGGATTCATTCTAGTGGGCCTGACCCACAGAATCTGTTGGCATCCCCAGTGACCCAGTGACCTGCCTTTGTAGGAGTTGATAGGACAGCCCAGTCAGTTCTGCCCTGATGAGGCCCTGAAGCATGAGGACACTGGGGTTATGCCACCCCCCCCCCCACCATTTGTAGGATACTTGGGTGCCTTGCAGAATAGAGTACCATATCCTATATCGGGTCATTCACAGAACCCAGCACAGTTATTTCACAGTTATCGATCATGTGATTCCTGTATTGACTTGCAGATGACAAGGGGCAGGTCTGCTTTCTCTTGTAGCCCAGATATCCTGCCTTCTTATTTATGAACTCATATTGTTCCCCATGACGTAGCACAGGGCCTGCTGATCGGTGTTGGTGAAATGGTGAATTGAGTGAGTGAGGAAGGAATCCAAAGTCAGTGGTCGTGGAATTGTTTACCCTCTACGGGCCTATTTCTTGTGGGCTGAGGAGGAGCGAGCAGCCTTTCTCTGCTCTCTTCCCAATATGGTCCTGTCTAGGATCCAGGCATGGCGGGGACAGAAGCCTTGAGGGGAGCAGGAAGAGTAAGACCTTTCTTAGCCTTGTACTACTTTCTTACTTACTCTTCCTGGGAATAGAATCCAAACGAGGTGGAATAAGCTCTGGAGAACAGGAAGAGACTTTCCCATGATGACTTGGTACCCAACAGCGGTATTGGGGTTGGCCTCCCTATGGCCTAGCCCGTGGACGTGGGTGTGTGCGCCCTAACCCGCTCCTGGTTCGCCTGGCTGTGCTGGTCAGGGCCATCTGCTAACACTCAGCACAAAAGTACTGCATAGGCCACCATCAGATCTTAATTTGGAAAGCCAAGGGAAGCCAGTGCTGACATTTCTGTGTGCCCACACGTGTGAGGCAGTGTGCAGGAGGACCAGGAAAGGTTGCCCCAAGGTTGACACAGATTCCTTAATTACTTCCACTTTGTGGCACATTTGAATGAGCACTAAGTGGACACATAATGAAGGGATCTTCTCTCATCATAGCATGTGTCATTGGGGAACAAGCCAGAGCCTCCTCCCAGCCTTGCTTCTCACACAAGCGTCGATATATATAGAGTAGGAGGGGCAGCATGAGGAGGGCCTCATGCTGGGGTTGTTTTGCTTTTCTGCTTCTTTCCTCTCCCTTGTTGAGCTGACTCCATCTTTAAGCCATAATTAAGTTTATCATGTTTTCATGTGGATTTGGGAATGGAGAGAGAGTCCCCTTCTGAGAAAACTTGCAAACCTGGTGTGCCCTCCACCACGGCAGGGGAGAGAGGTCTGGTCACTGTACTCTGGGAGAGAAATTTGTTCTGGGTGCAGGCCCCCTAGGCTCTTCTGGGAGCTTCAGGCCAAATCCAAGTACCCCAGGCTACAAATGACTTGGAATCAAAGAACACAGGAAGTCAGAGCTCCAATGAACTTTATATATCACCCAGATATGGCCTCATTTTCAGTGGAGAGAGATGAAGTTCAGAAGGAAACAGACTTGTTCAAGACTGCCTGGTTAGTTAGCAGGTGAATGAAGTGAGGACCCCTGACTTCCAATGTCCTGAACACTAAAATGACCAAATGGTAACAATGCCTACCATTTATTGAGCACCCGCTATGTGTAGAGCACACGGAAAGTCCTTAATAAGCACCTTACTCAGCCCTTTGTAGGTGGTACTATTGTTCTGTGTTATAGATGTGGAAATTCCACCCCAGAGAGGTTACATGAAATAACTCATCTGAGGACGCAGAGCCAGGGGCCTGTGCCAGGATTTGAATCCAGGCCTGTCAAAAAGCCATGCTCTCCCAGTGTTACTCCCTTGCCTTCCTGCTCCCAGCCTACTCTCCGTGTCAGTTGCGCACTGTTCAAGTTCGACTCATTCTCCCTTAACCTCTGCCAAATGGTGGGGAAGGAAATGGGGTCGGCGAGCCATAGTCCTACTGACATACCCTCAGTGTGAGCAAGCCCCAGGATGTCACTGGCTTCTCTTTCATCCCAAACCTGTGTCATTTCATGCTGTGTTCACACCGCCATGTTCCCTGCCCTCTGGGGACTTGTGGACTAAGCTAAGCCTGATGTCCCAGCCATCCGTGGAGAGAGGACGTGCAGACAATTGACTAGAAAACACAGACCAAGTTCAGGGGCAGATGGTGTTAGCTATGTTGTCAGGACTCGGGCGGCTCCGTGCTGCTGTAGGCCAGAGGAGGCTCGGGAGTTCGAGGGTCTCTGGAGACCCTGCTTGGATAAACAGGGCAGCCTTCTGGGACTGAATAGATTTCTAGGAGCTGGGAAGGGAGGTAATAATAATACCGGGTAGCAGTGGCTAACACTTGCTATGGTTTTCTCTGAATCAGGCACTGCCAATAAGCACGTTCAATCCTTCTTTTTATTTTTTTAGTTTATTTATTTATTTATTTATTTATTTTTAATGTTTTATTTATTTCTGGGAAAGAGAGAGAGACAGTGTGAGCAGGGGAGGGTCAGAGAGAGAAGACACAGAATCTGAAGCAGGCTCCAGGCTCTGAGCTAGCTGTCAGCACAGAGCCCGATGCGGGGCTCGAACCCACAAACCGTGAGATCATGACCTGAGCCGAAGTCGGACGCTTAACTGTCTGAGCCACCCAGGCACCTCTAAGTTTATTTATTTTGAGAAAGAGAGAGGGAGAGAGAGAATTCCAAGCAGGCTCTGCATTGTCAGTGCAGAGCCTGATGCGGGGCTCAAATTCACAAACCATGAGATTATGACTGAGACGA